TTTAAATAAACAGTATTGCAGAGAATGAAGATATTAAAGTATATAAGAAGAATCAATATATTTTGAAGATACATAACATCCTCGCCAGATTATTTTCTCAACAGGGTGCTTGTTTCAAATATGGCTCTGATTTTCAACAGAGCGCAGCATTGTGTTGCTTTGATTTTTTCACATGTTCATTAGGGTGCAACATATAAGAGTTGCTAAGGACAATCAGAGACTATTGTGTTTTAATGCAACACCCAATGTTGTATATGTGATGGAAATTAACGTTTTCCATTAATTAATTTGAAGAATGCAATCAATACTGATCTGTTATTCATTGATCCCAAATTGTTCTAAGTGCATGTACGCATCATGTCCTTTCTTGTTTTGATGTATCAGATACAGGATTTGAAAAATCCTCCTGATTGTAAACATCCTGAACAAAATGTAAATTCATTCTGATACAAAAAATCACAAGTAAAAAGAGGAGGAGACGCCAACAGGTATTAAGACCCCAACCAATCACCAAGTTAAGAAACCGCAATAATCATTGAAAACCAAGCCATATCTCTGAATATTTTGAGAGAACAAAAACATTTGATAAAATTTTACTTAAGTTCATAAATGTATTTTTCGGTGGTTTATTTTATCTTAAATTGTTCAAACTAAAACTAATCAGTGTGGTCTGGAACTTCTGAAATATGACATCGTTTAACATCCAGGCTTTGTTTTGTCATCCGGGCTTTGTTTAGACTAGTAAAATGTGAAACATAGAATCAAGAAAAGAAATCCTGCTTCTTTTGCTAAAATTGTTAAGGTTGCAATGATTTTATCCTTTCCAACAAATTCAATTTTGCATTTTAAAAGACAGCTTCACTTGGTCTACTGTCACCTAAAAGGAATGTGTGTAGTCTATCTACAGTATGTAGGAGGAAGGATCTTTTTAAATTTCAATTTAAAATAAATATTGGCAATAGTCCTGTGGAATGTTTACATGATAAATGAAGAAAAAGTTGAATGTTTTCTTTCAGATTATCTGCAACTTATGAAGTCATAGTGTGATAGATGTATAAACATGTAATTTTCAAGTCATGACAATATCATTGCAATTCAAGGAGTGCTGTAATATACACAAATAGAGGTTATTTACAGGATGAGAGGCAGTGAATATGTGTTTTATACAGGGAACCATGTAATATACATGAATATAGGGTATTTACTTGATGGGAGGCAGTGAATACGTGTTTTATACAGGGAACCATTGTGATACTCTCTGATGGGGAGAGGGAAACATTGACCAAGATAGATTTTCAAGCTATACAACCCCTTGCAGGCAAGCTATACAATTGCAGGCAAGCTATACAACCCCTTGCAGGCAAGCTATACAACCCCTTTCAGGCAAGCTGTACAACCCCTTGTAGGCAAGCTATACAACAACCCCTTGCAGGCAAGCTTTACAACCCCTCATGGGCAAGCTATACAACCCCTTGCAGACAAGCTATACAACCCCTTGCAGGCAAGCTATACAACCCCTTGCAGGCAAGCTGTACAACCCCTTTCAGGCAAGCTGTACAACCCCTTTCAGGCAAGCTGTACAACCCCTCATGGGCAAGCTATACAACCCCTTGCAGACAAGCTATACAACCCCTTGCAGGCAAGCTATACAACAATCCCTTGCAGGCAAGCTTTACAATCCCTTATGGGCAAGCTATACAACCCCTTGCAGACAAGCTATAGAACCCCTTGCAGGCAAGCTATATAACAACCCCTTGCAGGCAAGCTTTACAACCCCTTGCAGGCAAGCTATACAACAATCCCTTGCAGGCAAGCTTTACAATCCCTTATGGCAAGCTATACAACCCCTTGCAGACAAGCTATAGAACCCCTTGCAGGCAAGCTATATAACAACCCCTTGCAGGCAAGCTTTACAACCCCTTATGGGCAAGCTATACAACCCCTTGCATGCCTTTTGGACTATGGATTTTAAATGGCAATGAGCTGAGTTCCAGTTCATTGTATCTGCCAAGTGCTTATTTATTTACGGGTCTCTATTTATTTTCATTCAGTGGCATGATGTTCAAAGTCTGCACATCAGGATGTATTTTGTTTTTGTTTTCTTTATTCTTTTGTTTTGTGTTATTAGCATGTACTGAGTTGACACTCTATAGAAATCAAAGAAAATTAAATTTTCAGTCATATTTAAAAAAAAGAAATAGACTGGGAAAGAATGGAATCGTTAGGAAATAAAGTTAATAATAATTAGCACATACTGTAGTCAACTCTCTGTACAGAAAGGCTTGTCGTCAATACTCAGATTTAACAGAAAACCATGAAATTCACTTTTTAAAGATTCTTTAAATAGAGGAAATAAGTTTGAAGCACACATATCTTCTGCATGATGGTCCTGGTTATGTTTCCATATTTTGGTTTTACTGTGTTGATTAATGCTGAAACAATTATTCTCATAAAAAGAAACATTCAATTTGAATGCAATCTTCGCCAGATTTAATTGATTGTAGCTCCATAGAAACAATTGTACAGCAAATATTGATTGCCAAAATTCAATAATTTGTGAGTACCCTAACTGAGAACATGTTTACAGTGTTCAGCAATGATGATCTTGTATTTTTCAGTATAGCACACTGGTCTGATGAATAGGGCCGGGTAATGCCCATGTAAATAACAGTAGCAAAATGTTGTTTTGGAGGAACTATGGCTCTGACTATACGTGTTGGATTCATAATTGAGTTATTTAGAAATCAGAGTTTAATTGGAAATAAATGATTCATTGGATTACAACTTAATTTTGGATTAAAATGAATTATCTCAAGAATTTGTAAAATATGACAATATTATAATAATAACAGCATTACATTATATATAAAGAACAATTGGATTAAAAAATAATGAGATCTCACCTTTAATGAATAATGAGATAGAAATGTCATGGGGTCACATTCTAAAATGCAAAACAGAGTGGAAATTAGTGGAATAAAAATGCACATAGTGAAAACTCTAAACTGTAGTTCTTTGCCAGTTCATCAAATTCTAGAGAGAAATAACATGAAATAGTGTGAAATAGCATGAATAAGGATGACTGAAGTTCAATTATGTAAAGGCAAATACATGTGTTTAAGGGAAATTAAAAAACGTAACCAATTTAACAATGAATTTGTTCTTGATTTTCAATATTAAAATGTGGAAACAATATTAACATCTGTGACTGCTCAATGATATCATTTTAAAAGGAAACAGTTTTAAGCGAGTTGATCTTCAGGAGAAACAATATTTTAACTACAGAATGACAAAAGTTGAAACAGAGAAATATTATGTAAGTCAGTATTTTATATTTTTAACTTGGTGTTACCACATTATGTTAGTTATGGCCCAGATAATTCATAATTTGACATTGACATACAATGTCAGTATTAAACATTTATCAACATTTGTAGTTTGCAAATGTTCAACCATATGATGTCTCATTTTGTCTTCTTGTAAGAAGGGGGGAAGTAGGGTGCTAGGTGTTGGGGTGGGGGCAGTAGGGTGCTGTTCAATGAATGATACAATGAATCTCACTTTGTGAATTTTAGAGAATCAATATTGTATATATACCAAAAATTAACTCCAAAAAGCTGATACACTGTGAAGTACTATCTTAAGGTCAGTGTTATTTATGTTGATGTTTACTCCCAGATCACCTTCAAGTGAAAGCTTCTAGGATCACTTGATAGTTTTAGGCAGAAATATTCATCTAAGTTCTTAAGTAAGAAAATGGGTCAAAAACCTAAATCAAGTGAATTATTGTCTGAGCCAACTGTCAGTTTGTGAGGGAACTATGTATAGATAAATAAGGGTCTCCGAGCTCTTCTCCCAGTTCAGCTACAGTATTAGATCTAATTTAAGGTAGACTAGATATCACTATAAATAGAACCAGCTGAGTGCCTGTAAGAAAAAAGCTCAGATGTTGTGTTGAAGTTGATTAATAGAAATATGTAATTTCTATTCCCCAAAGATTGAAATTCGCATTTGTAATCCAGTAATTCAGAGACAGGTTGACTTTTTGACAATAACTGAAAAATGAAAGCATGGATGGTTTTGATTTGGAAGTGTTAACAATTCTGAAAATTTGGGGAATAATATATTACTATATATCAGCTTTTGAATTTAGTGTTGTGAGGGTGCGATTTTGCTATCTTTATCCAACCAAAACACTGGTATATTACCCCAAGTTGCTATTATCGCTACCTTGAATGAGTAAATTTGACAATTTTTTATGATGTTATGATCATCAACTTCACAAAACCTGAAGTATTCAATTTCCAAACAGATTTTTATTTATTTTTCTTAAATAACCTCCATAACCAGTAACTTTCAGATAAATACCAAACAATAAACATTTTATAGTAGGAAAAATCACTTCCAGTTCTTTGTAAAGAGAGACATCTATTTAAAACATAAAAGTTATTTTCACAATATGAATGCATTGAATGGCTAAATTCATCACTACCACCTGGAAAAATTTCAAGTAATGAAAATCACTACCATGGTCAAATAAATGTTAAAGCCTGTATATAGGTGCCTCTTGTTGAACTTTTCAATGGGGTTTACTTCATCTTAGTTACAAAAATTTATAAACTTTTTAAATAAATTTTTTAAATAAGGGTGTATTAATTTGTCTAATGGAAAAAATTTGGTGTACAAAGAATTTTCCTCAACACTGGAAACCTCAACACTTGAAACCTCAACACTGGGACTGAGACTGCCATCTTTTGCAGTCTTCCTATTTTTTATGTATTAATTGCTCTTTGATAATATGTATTGACAGTACACTAGATTTCCCCATATGCCCAACGCAACTGTATGATAGTGACACCTTAAGGCCCAACAGACTAGTAATGAACCATCTGAAACACAATATTATGATAATGACACTTTTACTTGTAGGCCCACCAGACCAGTAATGAACTTTCTTAAACAAAGAATTATGATAATGACACTTATACATGTACTTATAGGCCCAACAGACTAGTAATGAACCATCAGCACCATGGAGAGCTTTAGAGTCATTAGGGGAACTTGCAACAACAATCTCCCCTGACTGCAAAACGTTAGATGAACTATTCAAAAGAGCTGCTCAAATACACAGTGAATCTCCATGTTTAGGGACAAGGGAGGTACTAGCTGAAGAAGATGAAACTCAACCCAATGGGAAAGTTTTCAAAAAGGTAAGCCATATGTATGATATTTGAATTTAATTATTCTAGAACTATGAGCTCTCATTATACTTCAATGCTGATGTTTAAACATTATAATGTAAGAGAATATCTGAATGATATACCACTACTATACCTGTATACTGTCATGTATATCTTCCATGTTTTTATGGCCTGTTAATCAACTATATGATCGTCTCACTAAAGTTTACATATTATATTATAATTGAGAATATATTTTCTTTTGAAATTATATATTTAAGTAGAAGTTGGCTCCAAATTGTAGGAAATCCCAGTCTTGAACAAGAAAAACTCTTAGCTTTATTAGATTCTTTTGTTGGGGATATATGTAGGAAAACCCTCATATACAAACATACTTTTAATAAAAACTTCCAATTAAACTGAATACCTTTACCTTTTCTTTAATTACTTTGCTCTCTGCAACAGAAGATATGAATTGCAACATGGCAGGATGTGCGCTAAAATGAATATAAAGAATCATTTCCTTTGTCCAAAAGCATCTTTAACAAAAACGTACATGTGAAATGTAATATATATATATATAAATTATTCTTGTATTATGATCTTCCCAATTTGTACACTAAATTCACCAGAATTCCTTTATTCCTTGCAGTTGAAACATTGATATTTACTCCCAGACACGACACATGCATCACATTTTGTGTATCCTTCATTCCTCATCAGTTGACACTCTGAACACTTTGTGACCAGTTTCTCCTTTCTATGTAACTTACATCTTTTACAGTAGTAGCCACATACATCTAAAGCACCATGATTAGATTTAATGCAAGTGAAGCGAAATGGAACAAAATATGAGTGACTCAAGGCCTTACATACATGTATTCCAATATAAGTAAGCCCCCTGACCTCGCCTTGTACATACCTGGACATTCAGACTGTGGCAAAAGGTCATAATAACCTTTTGGAAAATTATTATCATCTGCTTCAAAGGATTTACCATTGGAGCCTGAACTACCAATCTGAAATACAAATATTTTGTAAAAAAAAGAGAAAAGATATATTCATCAGCTGTTATATTCTTGATATTCGCTATTTGACATATATGTGTGGATTCATGCAATTTAAAATAATGAACATAGTACACACCTGAGATATTCTACTAAACGTCAATGCTTTTTGTTATCCCACCGAACGAAGTTCGAGAGGGATATAGGAAAGCCGTCCGTCCGTCCGTCTGTCCGTCCGTCCGTTCGTCCGTCCGTCCGTCCGTCCATCCGCCTCCGACCCCGGTCAAAATGTGACCTGAGATGAATTTTAATATAATTTCAAAATTTGTAGCTTATATTTGTTATAAATTCATAACATGTTATAATTATCAATAAGGGTTCTATTCAATACAGAGTTCATTAATTTAGTAGCTAATTAAAAAAAATTGAGGTCACATTAACCTTGGCAGTGGGGTAGGCGCGACTTGACACAAAACGACTTTCTAGCAGTCAGTTTTCAATGTAATCTATACCTCAAAACATGATTTTTTGGGTTATTTTAAAATAGCAATGAAGTTCTCAAAATTTGCCATGAAGATTTTAGGGTAAAACAGATTTTTCAAAAATATTAGTCAATAGTACATAGAATACTACAGTATAATTTTGAACAAGTGACAAAAAAAGAAAACATTTTTTAAGTCAATGTTCTCTTGATCAAATCTCTCAAAAGTTGGTGAAAAGCTTTATTTTGGCTTATTAAATATACACTGTGAAACATGTTGAAATCTTTTTACTCAGATATGAATAAATTGATATTTTGTCCTTTTTCTCTAGGTCACATCTACCCCATGCGTCCACCATCATAAAAAATATTTGTTCATCAATAATATTTTCTTGTAATAGGTAGATGTGATAAATTCCTACATAAGAAAAGGATAAACACATTTATGTCAAGTATCTAGAGTACTTAATTTCAATATTTATTTTCAATACTTGTTTAAATATTATGTTTTGCCCCAAGTCGCACATACCCCAGCTCATGTAAAAATATGAAAATTTTCAATAAATCCTCTTCCCTTCAAAAGTTGATGGTAATTTTAATACTTATTTCATTGTTACCTTCTCTGAAATGTTAACAAATAAAAATAGCCCATTTAGATCACCCATGGTATCATTTTAAATCATATTTTCATACATTAAGATACTAGATAATATGCATTTAAACATTGATTACCAACATATCATATGAGTATAGTTTCCTTCAAGGCAGAATCTGATCTAAAGCATTGACAAAATTGCAAGCAACATGTACAAATAACATATTAATGTGGTACTGGTGATCTCAAATACAAAATCCCATAAGATCTATGATATCCAATCAATTGGTAAAGACTAAAGATATGAGCCCAAAATGTAATAAGATTGAAATAATTGTTTCTTGTGCTTGTCTTTGTCTGTTCATTATCTGTTTTCACACCATCGGTAGTATATGGTCGTCGTGATGACTATGTTTTCATTACGGTGATTGTCCCACTTTTTTGTCATCCCAATTTCGGGATTCAGCTGATTATTATCTTTTAGGTGGCTGAATTGTTTTCTGGCGGCCAATTTGAAGGTTTTTTGTTAAATCTTGTCATTGTCATTTCAGGAAAACCCCTTGTTCAGTTTTCTCCAAATCCACACAACTGTTTGTAACAGAACTGCAAAAGATCTCTACAATTATCTCCACTCTGTTATATTGCCTTAGATTTTAGTTCAATATGTGAGCTATTGATTAATATGACCACAGTCAACATTTTTTCTTCAAAGTTTTTAAAAATAATAGGAGAAAAGTTTTCCTGGTTCATACATTGTCTGGCTATTTGGTGGTGTGATCTCGTTCACGTAATGTATCTTGTTAAATATAGCTACTGTGCCTAAAAATTGATACCACAGCATTGAATTAATGGGAGTTGACTTTTAATTAAACAGACTGTTATTTTATATCTAGTTTAAGATATTGTTTGATATAAATTCATTCCAAAAGTTACATAGATGGTACCAACTTGAAGCTAGGAATTTGTAGTATGTAGAAATAGGATGATATATATATATGGTGGATCTGGGGTGTGTGACATAAGGATATTAATTATGCATTTTATTATACAGGGTGTTCAGTAAATATCATGAATAGGTCTGGCATTTTGTTTTATTGTATGATATACAATGTATCAGCAAATAAATATGAATAGAATATTGAGGGTATAACACCCTGTAGTACTCTTGGTTGCTATGGTAACCATATTATCAACCAATCTAATGGTAGAACTGATATCTTTAAATAAATCAATTCAGAAATGCTCATAAATTTTCATATTTGGACCAATACTAACAGTAACAAAATACCAGACCAATGCACCTTTTTTCTTTACAGAGGGTATACTATTTTGTAGCGATTTAGTATGAATAATTAGTCTCTGCATACAATTTTGCCATTTGACGTCAATTGTATTCTGTATATTGAATATTTTTTGGTGATTTGTTATCACAGGCTATTATCGAAAGATTTGTGCGCTGTGATGGATCATGCTATTGTTCATAAAAACACTAAGAATACTTCACAATTTATTTTTAAACTCATATGTTTCATTATATCAAAAGTACCATTCGTATTGGGTAAACATATTCATTTGTGGTAAACATATTCATTTGTGGGGTAAGTCACGTGACTTACCGAATGATTTTATATAAACCAACGTTCACTGTTTTGATGTGGGGTAAGTCACGTGACTTCGGCCACGTGACTTGCGCCATCTATATATTCAAAGAGCTCTGGTGTGATTCGTGAACACGTATCTTCTATTAAGAAAGGATCGCTTGAAGCCCCATGCCTGTTGCAATGGTCTAATAACTTCTCAAATTCCCCTCTGAATTGTGAATATGAATTGTGTTCAAATTCTTTTTCCTCGCTTATTTCATCCATTTTGAAATAATTTCTACGTCACTGGTCACGTGATTTACCGAATGGTTTTATGCTACATGCACATGCATAACTGCATAATGAATGATTGAAATGCATTCGTTAGAAGTGATGTTAGACCCTGCAACTGTTTTGTTAAATATCCCGAGGAAATTTGAATTTGCCCCTCTAGTTCATTTCTAATACGTTCCGATCTCACACAGGGTCTACTTTTGTTCATATCTTTGCAGTATATTTGTTTGAACCATCTTTGGTTTGAGCAAAGGATTTTACAAGTTGAATATAACTTTTTATCAGTATTAATTCTATTTTTCTATGATTTCTGCACCTATTGCATCTCTTACCCAGTCATTCCTGATCATAAGTTTTGAGTCTCAGAGTCTGTCATCAAATAAGTCATGTAAACTTCCCATATGACATCATACAATTCACATGATCAATTTCTTTAAAAGTAAAAGCCCTGAACAATATTTAAGTTAACATTATAATGTGTTACATTATTTATGAGAGTTTATTATGTATGTTTAACATGGTTAATTAGTCTCATTCTCAAAAATTTTATTTGCCCCAGTTGCCGCCTTGATTTCTGGTAACTATGGTAATTGTAATTGTCTAATACTGTATATGTGTGATACTAAACATTTTTTGCTAGCTTAATGAGCATTATATGCTTCACATTCTGTGAAAATTTCATTAGATTATATTGAAAAATAAGAAATGAGAAAGATATTATTACAACTTTATCTACATTACTATATTTAATGTTATGAGTATTATTGGGGAACAATTTTTGTTGTAATGACTGAAATGTCCCTCGTTTCAGTCCTTGAATGTGATATTGGGTCTTATTAATTAATTCAGAAGTCAATAAAAGAATTTTAAGATAAGATTAACTGTAATAATGTCAATTTTAGCATTATTTCCGGCCTCTTGATGAAGGTGTTTCTATAAGTATTTTATCAAGAAGTGAATTTGTCATAAACTTTATCAAAGCCAAAATAGTTTACCACTTCTTTCAATAACTGACGTCAATATATTTTTCATGTGTATTTTAACTTGCATTAACCTCAATGATATTTTCTTCAAACTCATTCAGTGAACAGGACTTTTTCCAATGACTCAAAACTGTTGCTCTTGAGAGGTAAAATAAATGGAATTTTGGGTTGATTCAGTAGCATGTAAACATATTTTTTATTCTATTCTAACTCACATAACCATGCTGATGTATGCATTATGCAGAAAAAGGTATATTATTTCAACAATAATTTATGTACATTATAGTTGTCACATTTTTAACATATTCTTGCAAGTAAAAAAAACAGGATGTTACATCTCTGAAGAATGAAAAATTGGGGAAAGGACCAATCTCGGTTTGGAGAATGAAGTTCATAGGCATATTCTGATGTTATCAATGTCACCAACGATTTTGATTTTTTACATAGTGTAGATTGAAATATGATCTTTTGAATATGTAAGATTTAATTATGTTAATGTTTTTATTTCTTTCACAAAACAAATATTAGCTACCCCCCCCCCAATATTTCACTTGTTAAAGTCCCATTGACGATGTCATCTAGGAAAAATAATATTTTGTTTTATGAAAGCAATAAAAATATTACCATAATTAAATCTTAAATATTCAAAAGATCACATTTCAATCTACACTATGTAGAAAAATCAAAATTGTTGGCAACATATATATATATATATATATATATATTTTTTATCATGTATATATTTCTCATTTTATAACTTTGTATACATCAAGTCATTTTACAATATTTGTGAAAAATGATACAATTTCAATTCTTGAACATTATTACAATAGTTTACAAATATAATGTACCATAAGTTGTTTAAACATTCATTAAAATAAGTATAGTTAGTTTCTTGTACCTTATAGCCAAAAACAAGAGTTTTATACTTTTTCAAGCTTAATTCAATTTTAAAATGATCTAAAATATAATTTTCTAGTTGGTCTATTACATTAAGTACTCTATGACATTGAAAGAACAAATGTTTATAATCTTCTACTTGTCCGCAAATATCACACATGTCATTAACACTTATTTTC